AGGACCGACACTCACACCTCTGACCTACACACACACACACACACACACACACACACACACACACACACACACAGCAGGGCCCTGTTCTCAATATGTAGATAAAGTCCTGGGCTGCGGTCGAAAAGTCAAAATGTACCTCCTAACGTCTATTCCTAACCACTTTTCCTTGACCTCGCTGGAAAATGTAATGAGGTCAAGAAAAGATGTGAAGGAGAATTCATAAGGAGTTAGGAAAAGACAACCCCAGAGCTCAGAGAATCCCGACTGCACTTTTACTAAACTACGTAATTATGAGGCAACAGCGGTGCTGACATAGTTCTGCTATGGAGAAACCACAATGAAGGACTACAAAAAGCCCAACTGTAACGCGACCCCATGACATCTATTATGCTACAGCGTGTAGGCTATATAAATTCCTTCCTTCTTGCTGCTTTCACACTTAACAATCAACACTGCTTCAGTAGAAACTGATAATTCACTAATTTGCAATATCACTGAAACTCTTCAATATCAATATTTCCTTTGTGCAATAATGTAGAGTCAACTGTTTGGTTATATTTTGCTTTTCAACAGTTTAATAATGTATCATAGGCCGAGTTTAGTTTTTACTGATGCTTCTTCTTATTGAGAATTGTTAACCAGAATTTGTTCATTGACAGTTTGCTATATTTACTGTTCATTTTATTTCGTTTTTTTTTGTTACATGTTCAAAGTTAATGAATACATATAAAATGAAACAAAATGGTTGTCACTCTATTCATATTCATCAACATGAATCATATTAGTTTATGATTAAAAATGATTGTTAAACCTGTGTGAGATAGGTATGTCATTTGTGTTCATGGACGGCCGAATGGTGCGTCACTTTAAATGTTGCCGCCGCAAGGAATTGTGGGGGGCATCATCTTCTTTCCTTTGGTAAAGGATGGTCCAGTGTATCCTATGCTAAAGGAGTTAAGAAAGGAAGCGTTGAAGCACTTGCTAGCTAGCTCACCGCGCGGCACATTTCACGTTGTGTGCATTTGACTAATGAATGGAAGTATTATGTCTGCTTATGATGGGGTGAAAAGTTTGTTTCTGCAGATTTACATCCATATTATTCATAAATTCATGTTAGGTTTCCAAGTATTCACCTTAAATATTCTCGGAATTTTGAAATATCAACTAAAGGTGTTGATAGCTGTTGACATAATAATCACAACATATGATCTGTTGGCGTAATTACCACAATAGAAGTTTCACAATCAAGAGTTAACTTCACCTAACAATAAAAAAAATTAAACAAAAAATAAATGTATGAATAAATTCATTAAATTAACCAAATTAACAATTGAATTAAACAAAATACTAGGGCTGCAACAACGAATCGATAAAATCGATAAAAATCGATTCTTAAAAGAGTTGGCAACAAATTTCATTATCGATTCGTTGTGTCGCTCCGCGATTATTACGCCACTCAATAAGACGCGGAGATGTTTGAGTATAAAAAATAAAAACAAAAAAAGAGCGGAGCGGAGGTAGAGGAAAGACCATCGGAGAGACCCGTAACGTTGTTCTAACACATGGCGGAGGCAGAGAAATCAGTACGACCTAATGCCGTGTTCACGCCAAACGCCAGTCTCGCCGGGGACTATTTGTGTTCATTCGCACTGGACGCGCCGGAGAGGGGGCGTGGCTTATCGCCCTGAAAGCCGTTCAACTATCCGCCATTAACCATGGAAAAAATAACCTCCATTTCTGCTTAGTACGTGTTGTGGAAGTCACAGATATCCCGGGAAACTAAACGCCGTCATGCCTGGGTTCATAACATTGTCCAGAGGAGCTCTGTGGATTTTATCGAAGTGTATTCACTGTCTAGCAAGCCACACGTCGCTGTTTACTACAGCTGTAAGAACACTGATTTGGCTGTGATTTAACGGCAATAAACCGACAAAAAGGGACTCCGAAATAACTACGTAATGATGCCGATTTGTAGGCTACTTGTCTTCTCAATGGAGCTCGGATGGGTCGGTGCTAGGCAATGCTAACATTGTAGCAGCTCCACCAACACTCAGAATAACGTCATAGACGTAAATACGGCAGCGTCTATTCATTGTTTGTACCATATGGTTTACACACACACACACACACACACATTTATACACATAGTTTGGTCCGGTCTCTATTGATATGAGGTATAGTAGAGCTCTGGGTGAACACAGACGGCTACAGTATTTATTTCCTGATTCAACAACGCAAACATGTTGGAGTCCTTGATGAGGAGGAAGGGAGTTCAACAGCAGGGTAAATCACTACAGAATCCTACTTTTGTTCCGTTTTGAAGTGAGGAACGTAATGTCCCTCCAGTAGCTCTTCTGGTGCTGGTGTTTACTCGTTATCCAGCTTGACAAGTTAGCGTTAGCTCGTTAATAACAGTAGTAAAGCAGGGGTGGTATAGTTTGCAAGACTAAAGACACGTTTTTATTCACTCGCCTTTTTTGGCCCATTAATATCCGATTCATCGATTAATCGAAAAAAGAATCGCCAGATTAATCGATTATTAAAATAATCGTTAGTTGCAGCCCTACAAAATACATTACATTAAAATATATACATAAAAAAAGTTTACAAACTACCAATTTAATTTTTGGAACCATCATCAACCCTAGTTATCAACCAGACAACCCATACCAGATATGATTTTAAATGACTAAAGTTTTAATATGCAAGTTAAGTGATAAGTAAAGATTAATGCTACTCTTAAATCAAAGTCCCACTATTAGATACAGAATTACACCTTAAAAATACAAAATAATTTGATTATTTGACACCATCTTCTCTACACTGCAGTAAAGTTAGCAGTGTGTTATGGTGCAATCACTTCATTTATTTCACACTGTGAAAATGTCATCACTTGTCCTTTAACTTAATGTAGAACTTGGCTCTGTGACATTTAATGAACGTGTTTTTTAAGAATTTGAGGATAAAGTAGTCTCATACTCTGCTTCTGTCATTTCCTACTGCACTTTCCTGTGTATTCATCCCTCCCTATTCCTTCCTCCCTCCTTTCTGCCTCTGACCTCACACTATGCAGCTCAACCAAAACAAGACATGACTGAGGTAATGCTATCCCCACACACACACCCACCCCCACACAGTAAAACCCAGGCCTTAAGGTTCCCATATCTCCTGCTGTGACCTGCTGCTCCACGAGACCAACTACTGCGTCATTAGGAAACATTGGAAAAAACGAGTTATATGGTCTTAGAGGTGAACTTGGCCTGGTCTGATCTAACCTCGAAAGACCTGGAGAGCAGTGAGGTTGAGTGCAGCTAACTTGTATTCATATCATTTGGAGGATTGAGTTTGCAGGCTGAATCATGGGACCTGTGAGTCTGGCATTCAGCTCGTGCTCTTTATCTGGAGACTCATCAGTGGACGCGGACTCTTATCTTCGGGCCGGTTCCCACGGCTTGTTTTGGTTTGTTTGGCATGTTACCTGCCTTGTCTGCTGTGTGAACGATCTTCATGGTGCCAAGAAGCTCTTTTTATTTTATTTATTTTTTAAACTATAAACTATTCGACAATTTTTTGCAAATGCATCAAAATAGACAATGCAACAATAAGTGATTGGTCAGGTGTGTGTAGGTGAGAAAGTAGGCAAGGCTTCCCTCTCATTTTTTACAGAACTACTTCTATCGCCTTTTGGTTTGAACGACCGAGTGAAGCAAACATGAATGACCTTGAGCTGTGTGCTGTTAGTTCACCAGATGAGATGTCATTATTAAATAACCCAGAATATGATTATGGTTTATCTTGAACACTGGAATTAATATTATTAGGCTCCATGTTTCGGGGGAAAATAAGATAATATAACTCATCAAACCTGACACTCAGGAATGATCAGCCTCAATTGACTGAATGAAATGATGATAAATGATGTAAAAAGTGTTTCGTCTCTCCAGCTCTCTCTGACTTTAATTGTATCCATAATAAAAGTTATTTAGGAACATAACAGATCAAGAAAAGACAAATATTTCTAATAAATGAAGAAAGTTGTTTGTGGTCCATTGTTCAGACCTACAATGAACATATATTTTAACCAGATGGTGAATCAGAAAATTAATCAAATATAAAACTTGAGTTTAATCTGATCTGTCTTCACTCTGGTATGAAAGTGATATTTAGAAAAATCAGATAGTCGGATCAGCTGCAGCATCCAATCAAATAATTGATGAACAATGAGGGCATGTCGGCCGCTAAAACACTTCCTGGAAGGCTGTTCTCGTGCATCCTTGCTCATGGCTCCTCAGATATCCCTCCTCCATCCTCCAACATCAGAGCAGAAATAAGAGCTTTGGGACAGCAGTAAATATGGTAGAGCAGAACAACTTCCGGTTTAAGTGAGGAGCGAGGAAATTACAAATAAGAGACTTGGGATGTACCCTCTGCATTTCAGTGAAAGGACATGTGAACTCAGACCACATTAAGAAGTGGTCCAGCCCACATACTGTATGGCCACATTGTTCTGTTCCGTTCTTGCCCACATTGAAGCACCGCCTACTAAACTGATGTTCTCTGTGGTAGCGGAAGTACGTGCTTATTTCTGGTGCTCAGCAAAGAGCCGACACCTGCCCGCCCGCCCTCCCTCCTGCTCTCATCCCCACCGGTAGACAATAACCATATATTTTTAGGTTCATAAAAATGTACTTGAAATCTACCAAAAAGTTGTTACTACTGCTGCCTCCAGCGGGTTAACCCAAGATGCATGTTGATGCCAGGTGTGAACAACAACTCAGCCACTGACATGTAACGTGATATTATCCCAGACTGCTGTGGAAACGCGTCAAGACATTATTGGTCACATTAATAAAGGTGTTTGTATGGACAAACCAGCCCACCTCCATTAGATGATTAGACAGTGTTTCATGCTGCTCATGAGTGTCTGTAACTGTCTCCGGTCAAACAGATGTTTGAACATTTTCATTGTATTCATTCTTTAACAGTCAGTGTAAACTCACCTGCAGATTGTGTGTGCCATCCGAGTCCCGCCTCCTCTGTTGCCGCTCTTCTTCTTCTGCTGCGGACAGAAAACACGAGTTCATCATCGAGTTGGTGTTGATTTCATTAACGTAAGGTTTGCCGGAAAAAAAGCCATTTGTTAGCTATTTTGATTTTGCCTCTTTGTCAATGGGTACTGCATTTTTTTTCTTTGTGCTATGAAGTAGGTTTAGTTTATACAGAAGTTAGCCCGCTGCAACGGTCGCAAGGGCAACGATACACATAAAAATGGCCGCCGCTTTGATGGCCCTGCTACGTTGATTTGATTGGGGACGTCTGTTCTACTCCTTGTGTATTTATATTAAATAGGGTAGAAGAGGTAAATGAGAGGGATTACTTACCTATAAAATGGCAGGTGACACTAGGCAAACGCTCAGAGCTGCTTTAAAACTGCCATCCAGCAGTGTATTATCAAGGTAAATAAATAAATAATGAGGAAAACGTAGGTGAGTCAGGTAATGATGATGAAGATCCTGTTAGGGAGTTTCCTCCAGTCATGGTGAGTCAGTAATCTTTCTGGTTGGAATAATTAAGGGGGTAAATGGTAAGCTTCTCTCTGACCCAGGCAGCCATGCAAACTGGAAAATGCTGGAACATTAGATACATCCAGAGCTGCCTCTCTGGATGCCTGTTTTAGCTCATTTTTGTTAACGGCAACCTATTTTGGGCTTTTGGGTATTACTTCATTTTGTTGATTCTTTGGCTTATCTATGAGGCAGATCATTTTTACAGGACTCTCTTCTATGATGTGATGGTGGCTGTTGGCATCTCTTTTATCATCTTCACCTGCACCCACAAAATATTCCCTGAGAGCATAGAGATAAGCATAGCAGAAGAGTTTGGTATGATGGCTCTACATTTTTCTGTCCACGTTTATTAGCCTTATAGGGACCTTATACAGATCTAATCTGTCTGGTCGGCTGATTACTCGATTTGTTTACCTGTCAGACTTCTTTTTAGTGATGTTTACCAGATCTCAGCAAGAAGAAGTATTCGGCATTGCCGAGGTGCCTCTTTTAAAAACGGATGTTCTATCTGCACAGCATCCTTTCCTACTTAGTAGGGGTGGGGGAACAAATCGATACAGCATAGTATCGCGATATTTTGCGTGGTGATATTGTATCGATACACGGACGCCAAGTATCGATCTTTTATTATATAAAACTATAAAACAAAAAAATTAAAAAAAATCGAATCAATTGCTTTTTCAGTCCACTAGATGGTGCCGAGTGGTTTTCTGGTGAGGTCAGCAAAGGTCCCGGGTCAGCGTAATTGGTAGGAAGTTGGTCAAAACAAAGATAGAGACATCGGAGAAAGAAACCAGAAATGCGCCGTCCGCGTTTAAAACGTCTGGACTTATTTTGGATTTTTTAACAAGGAAGGGAAGAAGGACATGGATATGACTCCGTCGTGACGTTTATTCACCGACACATCCGTGCCCAAGCCCTACAAAGAAGTGAAGCTTAAAGTTGAGGAGTCTTTGAGTACAGCAGAAAGAGTTGCATTAACTTGCGATGCGTGGATGTCAAGCGCAGTGGATTCCTATGTGACTATAACAGCACATTATCTCAGGGGACTGGCGACTGCTGTCTCTCGTTCTCCAAACTAGAGCAGTACACGTAAGTCACACCGGGTCAAACATTACAGACCTCCTGCTAAATGCAGCACAAGAATGGGGGATTGCCGACAAAAACCTGGTGGTTGTAACAACGCTTCTAACGTGGGCGTTGCCGTTCAGTTAGCGGGATACCTGCATGTAAAGTGTTTCGCTCACAAGCTCAATCTGGCCTCACAACGGGGTTAAATCTGCCAACAGTAGCCAGGCTCATGGGGAGAGTGCAGCGCATAACTGTCTCTCTGCCCTTGACGTCCACGCATCGCAAGTTATACTAAGTTATATACAGTAACTCTTATATCCTACTTATGTAAGTTATAGTTCATATACTGAGTCCACACGTTTGCATTTAGTTAAGTTGGACTATGTAGTAATACAAACAGTTCAGTTTGTCAGGTTCATGCAACATTTATGACATTGTTGGTCAGTCTGTCTGCTTGACAATCCTATTTTGCTGCAAAAAAATTGATTGAAGTGAGATGAACAGACTGAAAACTTTATCTTAGATAAAACATGTTGACACAGTTTTCCTTTGGGGACATATGAAGTTGAAAAAAGTAATAAATCGCAATATAGGCCTATGTTATCGCAGTATCGTGATAATATCGTATCGCGGGATCTCTGGTGATTCCCACCCCTACTATTTAGAATATGAGCTCAATTCTGGATACTATAGTGTGCCTCTGGTGGGGATCGGACGACAAGCTCAGTAAAAATGACAGATGTTAGAATTACCATCATTAGTGGCTATGAACACAGACTCAAGCACATAACCACTGCAGCACCTAAACAGGAGGATGTGACAGACTAATGTGGACTGCTTCCAACTCACACAGCGGGTCAGTCACTGAGTTACAACTATTACAAGATGATGATGTGGCTCTGCATCACGGTCCTGTAATAACTGACCCGCACTTACATACACACACATCCCTGTACTTCTATCTTTGTGAGGACCCTCTATGCATTCCCTTGCCACTAACCCTAACCATGACAAATAAATGCCTAACTCCAACCTTACCCCAACCTAAACCTAATTCTAAACTGAAACTTAAAACCAAGTCTGAACCCTTGAACTCAACCCTTGCCTTTGACAAAGTGAGGACCGGACATAATGTCCTCACTAACTAAAAAATGTCCTCTCTATGCTGGTTAAAAACTTTTGGTCCTCACTATGTAGCAAGTACGAGAATATACACAAACATAAAACATGAACACAGTGGCTTAAAGAAACTGCCTATTCATTTCACATAAAACAGACTAGTTGGCCTGAGTCATATCAAGCGACACGCGCACACTTTATACACACGCATAGAATGCACACACTCTTATGCAACAACCCGTTCACACAGTGACACATTCAGACACACATACATACAGCACAACCATTTCTCAGCCCACCTCTAGTTTCACTGTCCACTGTTAGGTCCTGATGACATCATCAGGTTGCCTGGATACCGTGCCCCATACAAACAGTGGACGCACGCACCCACCCACCCACACACACACAGTCCCTGCCCCGCTACTGAAATTATTCTGCTGTGTCTCTATCCACCACTGTTCAAAATGGAGGGTGAAATAAAAGGGTCACTACATTTTAGACACTAATCAAATCCCACGAAGCTGTGATGCTACAAGTAAAATCTCCCTACATGGACCTTGAGATGCAAACGTAAATTAGGAATGCCAGGATATGTGTGATTTCCGCTAAAGCCAAAGATGGTTTTAATATTAGAAAAGAAAGAATGGATGGTGTCCATTTGTTCAAAAAGAGCAAGTGAGTCTTTCCCTAGATACACGATGAAGCTGATCGCATCATTTTCAGACAGACGGTTAGCAGCTAGCTTGGTTACTGTTGAGTGAAAGACAAGCAGCTGAGTAAAACTTCTCAGTATGTCTTAGCTTAAGCAGCTATAGTGCAGACGCGACCAACCAGCAGACTGCCATTATTACCACTGCCGTACAATAAATATTAACTTTTTAAATGTTCTAATTATTTCAAAATAAAAGCACTGAATGTTCTATACACCACTGTTGTAAGATGCTAATGGTCAGCGAGGTTTACTTAATTACTTAGTGGTTTTAATGAAGCTGTCCAGCGGGACCTTAATAAGCAAAGTGCTGATTATTTTCATGCACAAACACATATGTGATTATGCTTCCCACATATCTTATCCTGACAGGGCAGGAAATTAAAGATGTAATGGCTGTACTAACGGACACGGTTGCACTGTGATGAGTTTAGACACAAACAGAAAGACACACTATAAGGAGAGTTATTTACCTGTCTGGGATGTGACGTCCACTGTGACCAGCTCTTTCCTTGCTTCCGCTTCACTTTTCATCTTACTCTTTTGTCTCTCCTTCCACCAGTCCAGTGTATCCACAGAGTCTTTCTCCAGCCCTTCAAACACACCATCCTCATTGTATGTAGCGTCAGGCTCTTGACCTTTGCTCTGGAGGGTGCTACTGCCAGCATCAAGTGGGACGGCAGGGACGAGCTTCATGTCCGCTACTGACTGGTATTGGCCCGTCTCCACATTCAGGGGGGCCGTCGAGTCACAGGGGGCGATGGGAAGTGTTGAGCCGCAAGTTAGCGCCAAGGTTGGAATCTCCCCTTCAAATGGTGTTTCAATCCAACCCTCCGGCTGTGGATCTCTCTCACACTCTCGGTCAGAGTCTGACATGTCTTCGAACGCTTTAAAGCTGTGTGGACTATCCTGCCTTCCTACCTCACCATCAGTAGTTATGGATTCCAAAGGGGGACTATCATCTCCATAGAGTCTGTGTTGCATCCCACTTTCTTCCTTACAGATAGACTGATCTTGGGGGCCTCTATGCACCCCTTGTCCAGGTTTCTCCTCAGAACCGGTGCAGAATGTGCCAGAAGTCTCTGGATGTTGCCCTGGGTCTGCAACAGGACTGGGGAGTTGCTGCTGGATTTCTACCCGAACGTGACCCTGGCTGTCTACAGCGGTTGAAATTGTTTCATCTGCTTCTGGCAAAGGTTTTGCATTAACGTGGGGCAGGCTGTCTTCTTCTTTAGGTAGTGGACATGTAAAGACTTCGTTTCGTGTAGTTTCTGTTTGGATTTCCTCTTCGTAGAGTTGTGGTAAACTAGGAGTTTCTGCAATAGGTGACGGGTCAAGGTTAGCCTGCTGGTTGCTAGTTTGCTGTGCTGCTGATAGCTTTTCTGTCTCAGCGTTACACTGCCACACTGCAGAATCAGACTCCTCTGATATTTTAACAGTAGCTTGTTCTTTAGAGGCAAACAGATCAGTAGGTTCGATGCGTGACTGCTCTATTGGGTGGTTTTCTGTCTCAGCTGGTAGCAGTTGACAGTTTTCTTTGTCCATCAGTTGTGCGGACTGAAAAGTGTTGAGTAAATCGTCTGGGGTCTGGTTTAATGGCTCTTGGCTCTCTGACTGATTGTCTACTAACTGTTGGCTCAGCTCTATGCTAGCCATGGCTGATGCTATTGCTACCGTAACGACTGCTACCGCTGTTGCAACCACGCCTTTATTGTGGTCCTGCTCTGGGTCTATAGAAGACAACTCCTCGCCACACACCATCCCACTATCATTTTCCACAGTCCTACTCCTTTCCTCGGCCGCTTCCTCTTCATCCACACAAGACTCACTCCTCTCTTCCTCACTGTGCTGCTGATCTCTCGGCAACCAAGGGGCCAAACAATGCTCTAAATATCCCCCTGCAGTTGTGTCAGCGCTTCCTTCCCACATTTGAAGTGGTAAAGCATCCGCTATGCCTTCAAATGACAGACCCCTGGCTTCTGCAGGACGCGCCGATTCCATAAGTCCTTGGGATCTTCCCGTGGGTTCCACAGGTTGCCCTAGTTTGTTTGACTCTGCGGATTGTTCGTGTTGTGTGTTTTGTACAGGAAATTCCGCAAGATACGAGTCCTCTGTGAATTCTGTAGGATCTGAAAGTTGGACAGGAAGTTCCTGTGGGCATTTAGATTCCACCAAGTCAGCCCGGTCCACGGATGGTACAGGATTACCAGCAACCACTGAATCCTTATTTACTGACAATTCCTTTGACTCCACATTATCCACTATTTGTAGGACAGGACCGGCAAGCCCCTTTAATTCCAGCTCTGTCGGATCAGGCATTTCCTTTTCTACTAGATGCACAGTTGTAATTCCCTCCATATCTGCCTCTCTGATGTCCATTTGAAGGTCTGAATCAGTGACAATAGAATCCTGGTTCTTACTGTCATCCTCTGATAATTCCTTTGTTTCTAGAGTGTGTGAGGCCGTAACTCCAGTGAGATCTGTTCCCCCACACTCTGTCAGACTGAACTCTGGAGTTGATTCACTACGATCCGAGCTTGTGATGTCGGGTCCATGAGCGTCCCTGGTCTGGCCCTCTGGCTGGCTGGGTAGATGCATGGCGTCATTGGTTGGAGACCCTATGTCCGCCCCTCCTGTCGTATCCTTGGCTTCTGACTGAGTGCTCAGGTCTGATACTTGTTCTCTCTGCGTCTTTATCTCTATCTGACTCTGAGATTCGATGCTGGAGCTGGAGCTAAGCTTGGCCTCTGCACCTCCTCTCCTCCCCCTCTTTTTCCTCCTCTTTTTTTTGCCCTTTGCTCCTTTGTCTACGCTCCCTTGCCTCTCTCCCTCCGCTCCGTCTTCGATGTCTGCCGTTTCAGAACTCTTTCTGCTGTGAGTCGTCTCTCTGTTACTGACCTCCGCTCCGTCTCCCTCCACTCCTCCCTCCTTCCAATCTGGCCCTACTTCCTCCTCTTGCTGTGATCCGTGTACTTCCCGTCTTTGTGCACCCGGCCCATGTGACAGCGCTGGCTGCGTTCCAGCAACATGTGGCTGACTAAGAGCTGAAGACAGTTGATGAGAACTAAGAGGCTGTTCTAACAGCTGTGGAGAACTAAGACCAGAAGCCTGTGCTGAGTTCAAATAACATTCTTTCTGCTCTTTCATTACCTGCTCCAGCTGTTGGCATTTTATCTGATCTGCCGTGTCAAACCAAACTGACTGTGACTTTGCGTCCAACCTGTTCAAGTCTTCATCGGCACCCTGGTCCAGCTTTTCATCCTGATACCAGACTGCTTTTGCTACAGTTTCTGCTCCATGTGGGGGTGATCCCATTCTGTTTCCAATCCAGCCTCCATCCCGCCATAGCACTCTCCGGGGTTTCCTTCCCGTGTCCGGTGACTTGGGGCTGGTCCTTCTGCCAGATTGAGTACCACTGTCCATGGTGTCAGATTGGCCTGGCTCCTCCGGGTCTGACTGGCTTTCCTGGTGATCCTGGGATTGTTCTTGACCCATGGTCGCTGAAAGGAGACAGGATTAGATTAAGGACTGCATAAAAAACCTGTTATTTTCTTTAAAGGGTACATCTGGTCTCGTATTTGTAAAGTTTGGGTCATCCTTTCTATCGAAGCAAAATGGGTCACAAGCACTCAGCCGATCGGACAGGTTGTAAACCCTTATTGTATAGATTAACTGTGTGAACACAATTGTAAACCATAAACTATGATGATATCTAAAACGAGAACACAGATCTTTACATTTGAAACAGAGAATCGCAGTTATTGAAAGCTATGTCTCTTATCAAAGGTCCAACTCTATGGACAATTCCCGAGCCTCCGTCTCTGCATCGAATACTTCCCTCAGAGCAGCTGTCAATCATGATATCACCCCCCTCCCTTTTTTTTTTTAAATGGAGCAAATGACTAATTAAAACCAAATATATAACAAAAATGAACACTGCATCAGTTTCAAAAGAGCTATATATCATGACAAAAAACATCTTTTTTTCTTTAGTTTGGCACATGTCCCATCATCTAAAATAGAAGGGGTGGAGTTTATGGCCTTTATTACAGCAACATGTTGCTTTGATGTTTTGGCTTCACTAGGGGAGCTGTCTTTGGGTCAATAACACACCTGTTCCATTTTTTTTTTTTGCATGTTACTCTTAAGCCCATGCTAATATTTGTTGTCATTTCTTCAAGCTATCGTAGACGCAATCTCGGAATCCATCGGACATCGGTCTGACGTTGATGAGCCTCGAGGGGAAGGGGCTATATTTCTTGTGATCCAGTGTAGCCAGCGGCTATCCGGGACTTCCTTTTCCGTGAGCTGCTCATTGTTTACAGTCCGATTAGCAACTTGAGATGCAAAAGCTGGAGTTGGACGATGTGTATGACCAGAGTGTTTCACAAGTAGCCGGTTTGAAAGCAAATTTTAAACCAATAATAAGCTAAATCATCTTCAGAAGATAGCCGGTGGGTTCCAAGCTTGGATTCCGATCCGCCTCTTTCTTTCTCTGTACGGACTGTTTCAACCAAAGCATGAGCTTGAACGTGATTAGTCAACACTACTCGGACTGCAAACGGGCTGGTTGACTACAGATTCATATGAATGTAGAATCTGTTTATAGAGATTATTGTCAATGATTTTTCACAACTGACAAAATATTTTGATTGTGTCTAAAGATGACACAATAAAATGATTAGTTTTATAGTTATAAAAAGTATTTCTAATTTAGTACAGATTCACATGTTAGAACAGTTACTCCGATATGCTACAATCAACAGTGACAGTCAAAAAAACACCAACTCAGTGTTCCTGTACTTCTGTCTGCCCAGTCAATCTGCTTCCCAAATCACTAGTTGATTTGTACTATTTAGGTAAAAGAGCCTCTCTGCTCTGCCATTGAAAATAACACCATTCATTGAGTGAATCTCAAAATAACCCACTCGTTGACACACTGTTGGACTTACCTGTCCTCTCTGCAGCAGATTCCAGAGCAACATTCACTGGAACTTCTTCTGCTGGGAGACTCTCAGTGTCTCCCTGCTCTATCTGTGTCACTGCTTCTGTCTCTGAAACTCGCTCACATATCAGTAGGTCAACTTCCCACTTCTCTTCTTCCTGTTTTTCTACGATGGTGGTGGCGGGCAAGGCCGCAGCCTTCCTGCCAGCGCACTTCCTTTCACCACCTGGTGCAGACACTGGCTTTATGGGTAATGGAGTCTCCCCTGCTCTTTTGTGAGTTTTTGTGGCTCCCTCGTCTTCGCCAATCACAGATGCCACCGCAGGTCCCCCGGGTGAAATAGTCCCATCCGTCTCTGTACTACTTCCTGTAGCCTTCGCAGGTCTCCGTGCGCTCCCTCTACTGGCCTCTGGGGTGCTTCTGTTATTTCCTGGAGATTCTGTTGCATGTCTTGCGGTTTTTGTAGTCCTCTTTCTGTTTTTCCTGCTGCGGCCAGCAGGAGAGTTGGCAGCTGGTGTGCCCTTCTGTTCTCCCCCAGCTTCCTGCCTCTGACAATGAGTTCCACTGGTACAGGATGTGTGAGTGACAACAGCAGAGTCCTCCCCCTGTGATGTTTCCTCCAGCGACGGAGGACGTCCCCGTTCCTCTGTTGTCGTGCTACAAGTCTCTATGGTTACCGCAGACAGACCATTGGAGCAGGGCTGCGGCCCACAGGCAGGGCTGACCGGGTCACACGTTTGTGCGACGGTGCCAGCAAAGTCAGACTTTCCCTGCAAGAGGAATGATGGGAAATGTCAGTACACAAACTGCTTCACTAACAAGTTAACACAACAAAATATAATTTAAATAAAAAATTAAATACAGTGATCACGTTTTTCCAGGTCAAATTGATCACTATGGGCAGATGATTATTAGCCAATTTGTGTTCTTTGTCTGAATTTCTAATACAAGATTACCATCTAATTGACACCATTTATTATTATGAATATAAAGTAATGAAAGGGACAGCTTCGCTATTTACTTAATATTAACGACTGGTTCAAAATACAAAACAGCTGTTTCAAAACGCTTTTCAAATTACAGTAATGTACTGTGTAAACTTCAAATACAGCGATCAATCGCTTACATGGATCGCAAAGCTTGGGACAATATAATTTCTATACAAATGCTGTAAATATAATTTGTTTATAGTAATCAAGTAGTCCACTAAGAGTTAATTTTGTGTCCTTTCTTACATAACAAAAATGTTTAAAACTATGGTAATAAAAAATAAAACAGTTTTTTCTATTTCTTAATTTCTTAACTTACTCCAATGATACTTTGTTCACTTTCTGTGGTTTTCTTATCACCTGTCTCAAAAGCTCATTGTAAAGTAAACTTTTTTTTACATCAGGCTCCATTGTATTCACCGTATTACGGAAGCCTTAATTCTCTAAGACCCTGAGAAGGCGCATATATTTGCAAATGAAATTAAGTATTGGCGGAGTTATTTTGGTTGCACAAGTTGAGATTGGTCGTTAAACGTTAGCTCTTGCTGTTCCATTAGCTGGTGTCTTGCTAAGTGTGCTCTCAGATCTGTTGTGCTCCCAGAGTATTCGATTTTTGCAATGGTACATTTTGTAAAAGGCATGGCTCTTGACGAACATTAGCTCTCACACAAACACTGTAGCCAGTCTATCTCTATGGGATTCAGCCACGGGTGGCAACATTACTGGTCAGCTAGGTTTGCTAATGCTAACGTTAGCAGTTTGCCGTCACGCTACTTCCCGTTTCAGTTGACGTTTTTTTGCGTGGAACAGTCAAAATCACTGAAGATAAATTACAACACTGCAATCTAGCGGTCGGGGGTTTAAACACAACACAAAATGAAGACACAAATCTTTAAATGTAAATTGATACAATCTTTTTTGAGAATAGAATCTCAGTATCTCCAAACATATCGCGTTCCTCAAGTGTATCAATATTTTCTTACACCCCTAGGGAATATAGGACAAGTCACATATGATGCATGTGTCTAGTGTTGTGGTGGTGATCTGAATATACTAAATGTAGATTTATAAACTATAAATATACACCTCCTGGTAACTCCTGGTGTCGCGTATTAAAATAAAGCTGATACACATGATAAAGCTTTGTATTGTGAGGTGAAAACTGTGAATTTACCCAAAATAAGTCTTGTATTAAAAACTGTGTACACACACAACTGGAGTACAGTTGAACCACAAATTAGCTTGAAAAAATGTAACCGAAATTAAATGAATATCTAAACACTTTCACTTTCACATAAGTACTTTAGATAATATGATTGAACTGAGAATCGGACTCCAACAATCCTATGTGCAGGTGTGTGTGAACTCCAGAAAACTGTGTGAACTCGCTGCCGGCTCACCTTTTCCTCCCTGTGCAGGTGGATACGCCTCCTCAGCTCCTCCACCTCCCCCTGTATCTCTGCCCCCCCACCCCTCCTCTGACGGAGGGCCGGGAATGTTAGGTTGTAGGTACCAAGGTTTGCGTGGTGCTGGAACACTCGGCCCCCCGGGTAAAAGTGCGGCTGCTCCTTTGGTTCCGCATGGACACTTGGGAAAGTCTCGTACCTGCATTGACACAAGATATGTTTGTCTGAGAAACATTTACAACACAAACTGTTTTAATAGTCGTTTTTCTTTTTGTGACACACATTTGAACTCTTTCAATCATGTTGAAAAAGTACATAAACAAGTAATTTATCTCTGAGATTCTTATCTCTTCTTACCCGAGTCAAAGTACGGACAAATGATTCAAATGAACAAAATAAGGAGTAGCCAAAATTAATTTATAAAAAATAAATAAAGTTAATGTCTAAAAAGTCCAGCAAGGTCAAACAAATGCACAACTAAACGCTGTAATCCGACAAGCGCAAAACACTCAGCCGATTTGCTGCACACAGCCCTGTATGGTGGATGACATCACATCACTCATTGACTTTTTTTTCTTTTTTTAACCACGCCCTCCCCAGATCCACCCACCACCCTAAGCAAGGATCAGATGAGCTGCCAGTCAGTTGCTCTGACGCTCATTGTTCTGGGAGCACCACCCAGTCCGGCCCGAGCCACCACAGAGGAGCTGCATAGGGAGACAACATGCTAAGTGGGTGTTTGATGCGGTGACTGTTTAACCGGCACACACCTATACACACACCTACACACCCTCACACAGCACACTTCATCAGGTAGTAACTGTCAAAAGACACCACCCACAGTGACACAAACGCACAGAGATTCCCAGACAGCGTTTTGCTTGAAAACCAGTTTTTCTTCATAGTGAGAGCATTGGATTGTCATGTCTGCCAACTTAGTCCTTAACTGATTAACACATATAGAGGATCATTGTTGCCGCAGATTTCAGCTTCAGTATTTACTGTTTTGGTTCACTGCTCTCATGGCGTGGTTTCGAGAGACATAGCTCCGATAAACCGAGTGTTCACTTCCTGCTCGGCAGCCAACGGCAGACGGACACAGTTAGAGACCAGCCAGTGACTATAGTAGAGCATTTAGCAGCAATGGGATAATTTGGTTTGGAGTGGCGTTTGTGTCAACCTGATGAAAGTGCGATATCAATAATAATAATAATACATTTTATTTGTATTGCGCTTTAAAATGGTACTCAAAGGCAAATGGTGAAAACAGAAACAATAAAAGCAATGATAATATAAACAAGGCAGAGAGATGGCATTATAACAGTAACAAACTAAACAAAAACATTCATAACTAGCATCACAGGTTAAAAGCAGATTTAAATAGGTGAGTTTTAAGTGCAGTTTTGAAAATGGCGAGAGAATATCTGAGGTGCTGGGGGAGGGAGTTCCAGAGGGAGGGGCAGCAATGGAGAAGGCCCTGTACCTCCAGGGTCCGATATGTGGACAGAGTATCAGGGGTAATGAGGTTGGCGTCGGTGGATCTGAGGTTGCGGGGTGGGAGCATGTTGGTGCAGGAGGTGCGAAAGGTATGACGGGGCTTAGGGTTGTGGACGGCTTTGTATGTGATGAGGCAAATTTTTAACTCCATTCTTTGCTGTATGGGAAGCCAGTGGAGGTTTTGAAGTTTTGAGTTTTAACTCTCCTTTTAGCTCTGTTTTTGGTCTCCACCGACCCCTGAGGGAAATGTTTGGCTCTCCAGCTACTAAATGGTCCACTTTGTTCACCAGCGAGTCGGCGAATTAGATGAGAGCGGTAAGACTGGGGTACATGTAGGGCCGGGTACAGAAACCTGGGAATCAAACGGGCACCGGTGCTAAATTATTAAAGACTGAAGTATTAATAAGCTCCGAAATTATCGGTTCTTTTAGCGGTGCTTATTAACGTTTCGGTTTAATGCACTACCACGCCGCGGCCTCTAACCCCTGTTCTCTGTGTCGAGCCAGAGAAGAGAGGTCGCGGTGGAGACGGTGAAGTGAAGATAACTGCGACAGCGACGCTCGTTACTGTGAGAGCACTAAAACCGTTGCGACTAAACAGCCGACAATTCATCAATACATCTGTTCAACAAGCATAAACATGACGCGAACTTGTAGAAAAGACATATTTCAAATCGGCTCCATCCGCAGTCTCTCATCCACTCACGCCATGTTTACACAACCACGGAGCGCTAGCTCGGCAATTAGTGAAACAAGCTAAGACAAAAGCTGTCTATATATAATCTACCTGTTTAGCTTAGTTTGCCGCGTATCTTATAATTATTGTAAATGTATCTGCCGACTGAGACAAAGAAGCCCCTCTCTTCTATCAGCTGTGCCATAATTTATCTTATTAACATTTCAGATTTGTTTCCGGTAAGATATAAATTACTTTATATAGTGACTGCAAATATTTCGTTATATTTAAACTAGAAATTAATTCTAATCCTGTTGTCCCTCTTTTTTTTTTTATAAATGTCTTTTATAGCAATTATTTAGTAATAGAAAAAGAACCGATAACAGTGTGGATAAAGAACCGAACTGATAAGGAGTATCGATAAGAGTTGTAGTATTAATAAAATCCTAACAATACCCATCCCTAGGTACATGTGCCACGAAAATTCTCTGCAGAAGTCCCCCCTAAAGCCTTAAAACCTGAACCCTCAGGGACTTAACTGACATTACTTGTTGAATGGTTATGTGAGACTGCCGACTGGGATTGGGACATACATGACTCAGAACCAACACGCCTCCCCTCGCCGTCTGTGTTTATGTCTCCCTCAGTAACCAGCAGCTGTGTACTGTAGAACACCATTGTTCTCCGACTCTCCTCCCTCTATTCATCTGCCCCCCCCTTTTTCCCTTTTCCCTCCCCAGAGAATGGACGGGCTGACTCAATTACTGTGATGTCATCAGTGTGAGACAACAAATGTAAAAAAGGAGGGGCGAGCAGGCGGCACAGTACTTTCTTCAGTGTACGAGGAAGTGAGTCACCATCTCCGCTACTACATGAGCACCCCCCCCCCCCCACACACACACACAGATCAGTGACCTTTGACCACCAAACTCAAATCAGTTCATCCTTGATCCTTAATATTTGTGCAAAAATGTATAGACATTCCTGACAACCCGAAAACATAATGCTTTAAAAAAAAGTTCTTTGCCGCATTATCTCCACCAGCTGTCAACTGGTGAAGCCAGCGTGAAACAAACACAAGTTAAATATAGTTGAGTATTAAGAGGCTAACCCTACTGTTGACAGACTTAACTACTTTACAACTCTGTCCAAATCTGGTGCAATAGATGTTACACACTTATTTTGACTACAGTGCAGCTTACCCTATGGCAGACCAGAGCAAGTGCTCTGACACAGCAAAACAAAATTGTGGCGCACAGGATGCATTTCTTGCAGCATTATATAAGGTTTCTGTTAATACTCAGAAAATATGACAACAAATTTGAGCCAAGATTTGATGAAAATCAATGTAGAGAATTACAGTCTTGCAACTTGGGTGGTAGGTGGTAGAGAAGAAAAATAGTAGACCAAAGGTTGCCAAGTTTGATTCCCTTGCCAGCAGGCACAAATAGCTGGCAGTTGTCATTCTGCTGATTTGAGTCAGTGAAGGGCAGATTGATTGATTTAAAACTTGTTTTTCAGGTACATCCAACAGCAACCAGCTGTGTCCATCTGTCCATCCAACCACATCTAAGTATTTGTTATTGATTTCAAATGGGCCAAGATCCCCAAATTAAATGAAACATGGTGAGAGTCAGGATAAGGGACTTAGGTCATGTGACAGTGTGGAGAAGAAAGGGGCAGTAGATGGAGCCTCTGATGTCCTAGCAGCAGCATCGCTAGAGGAAAAAGCAGCACTGGGCTTGCTTATAGTCTTAAAAAAAAAAAGATTCATCGCACAGCAAGTGTTGTCTGTCGCTTTGGATAAAGTACGTGACTGGAACGTAATGTAGGTGAAACTATGAGCTTCTACTTGCAGCACAGCATCCACTAACTATTCTTCCAAGAAAAACTGTCTAATGCTCCTATAGACACTGTGCAGTGGACGGGTCCTCTACAGAGTTCTCTGCGTCAAGAAAAGGGGGTCAGCGGTGGGAGAATTTGGAGGTGGGCTGTAGGCTGCCCACCCAATCAGAAATGTATAACTTTTTAATTTCTTAACTTTTGATAGGGTGGGGTCGATCAAAACAATACCCAAACCCAAATGTCATCAAGGCTGCCAAACTGGAGTGCATTATGTTGTACAGGTGTTTATATTATTGTGTTCATCCACCCCTAGGTGGTACTGCAGGGGGTCCTGAAATTTTTGGTTGATTAGACAAAAAAAAAAAAATAATTCTTTTTAACTTTCCCCAAACATGAATCTGTCCATTATTTTCATAGTTCAGTATTGTATGCAAGATAACAGGTATCTTTATGCATAGCAGTGGCACTAATAGGCCATCACTCATTTTTGTTTTCACATTTATGTTTAAAATAAAAACATCAATTGAATAGCTTGTATGCATGATTATCATGCAATTGACAGACAATGTTTACAAGGTATGTTTATAAATGGCAGTGGCACGGCCATCCTACTCACTGTACCTTACACATGTTTAAAATAAAAACATGAATATATGAACCTGTGTATTATTTGAATAGCTTAGTATTGAATGCACAATAACAAGGTATGTTTATACATGGCACTAGGCCCAGTTTAATATAAAACACAATTTTATACAATATATATAGTAGGAGGTTCCTGCTCCATCACTCTATCAGTTTGGGGGTCCTTGGCCTGAAAAACATTGAAGACCCCTGCTATAGAGTGTTCTCCATCTGTAGTGTATTGTCTGTCTGATGAACGAGGTGCTTTGCAACAACTGTTCTGTCTAATGTGAAGCCAATGTGGAAGTTTCTTAAAACTTGCATTCTTTCTACTGACCAGCAGGGGGCGAACTCCTCCGGTTGCAAAAAGAAGTCCGATTGTATAGAAGTCTATGAGAAAATGACTACTTGATTTATTCCCTCAGTAAACATTGTAAACGTGAGTTTATGGTCTCAATCTCTAGTTTCAAGTCGACTTCAATACAGCATGATGTTCATTTAGTAAATGATGGATCATTTAGAGTCAAATAGGCCGCAGAGTATGCTTTAGGATGGGCTTACTGTGATTGACAGGTTGCTGCCGCTACCATATACCGTATACAGCGTCTCTTCCGCATTCCAAATATGGAAACTTTCGTTAATTGGTAGCAAAAAAAAAAACATGGCGACGGCAAAATTGCTGAACTTGAGGCTTCATAACTGCAGTCCACAAACCAACGGGTGACGTCACTGACCACGTCCATTTCTTATATACAGTCTATGCTACACAGCAGACAGTTCCGGGTACATTGTTTGGTTCCAAAATGACCATTTTGTCCCTCCATCAGGATGTTTAATCAAGATACACAACAGCTACAGTCATGCACTTTAGCCGTTTTTATTGTCTTGATATTTATTTTTTTGTCTTTTTTATATACTTTAGCAACTTTTCCCTTGAGCTCAGTGACAGGTTTTCTTTTTCCACAATAAACCGAATGCCATCCTCACATTCAAATAACATTTTGTCAAAACAAACGTTAACTCAACAGCTCCGTTTGTTAACTTGTAGTGTAAAAGTACTCACTGCGTGAAGAGCTCTGCCAGCTGCCGATGTCCTCTGCTCTCTGCCTGTCGTGCTGCAGTCAAGCCCTGAGCGTTGGGCCTCCTCAGCGCCTCCCTGGCTCCCGGTTGCTGCAGGAGGAACGCCGCCACCGTCCTCAGACCGTGGCTGGCTGCCAAGTGCAGCAGGCTGGAGAGCTGCTGGCACTGAGACGCGGCTGGAGAGGAAGGAAGAAAAAAAACACTGAGGGGGTGGACTCAACTGATGAGACGGAGCGGAGCGAGGTGGACACCTCCTGGCGGAGAGAGAGATGTGACAGCAGGTTTACACTGACAGATATTAGTCTTTATTCAAAACTTGGGTATCAACCAGTCATGGCTCCGGGTTTCGGAGAAAGTTTAATTGAAATTCTGTGATATTTTCTTATTTGCTCTACACTATTTTCACAAATAAATCCCAGCATTCAAAGCCCAAAGTGTCCCGTTGTCAACTTTTACTGTTGATTTTTTACCAGCCTAAAAACAAATGTCTTTTACCACATTTTGAGGGGTTCTGAATCAATTATTTTTATGGTATTTTAATTGTATTATCTAAAAACCTATTAGTGACAAAAAAGTACCAGTCTGGTGTGTTGCATCAAAATCTGCCAAATGTGACCGATCCATAAAGTTTTCAGTTGTTCTCAGTCCATTGATTGCGCAATGCAAAATGCTGCAGCTGATACTGCATCATCACTTACTGTATGCACCTAACAATAAACAAATGCAATATAAAGACAGTCGTAGGCCTTTACTGTGAAACCTATAGCGTTGGCACCAATTGTCAGAGTTAGCGAACAACTTGACTCAATATCTTTTGTGGAGCAAATGGATTTTATCATGTATTTAACAAACTCGATAAAGAACAGACAACATTTTTAACAACTGGAAGAAATTATATATATATATATATATATATATATATATATATATATATAAAAAACAGATTGCAGAGCATCAGGTCAGTTTTTAGTTTGTGAGAAAAGATGAAGCCATGCTCAGGTTAAGCGGCTACGTGAAGAGCATGCAGAAGCGTGGGTTGACTCCGAGTGAAGCCTTTTCCCTCAGCCGTCCTGTAGACGTACAGAGGACAGCTAATCAGTATTTATCTGATGTTGGGTCGACACATTATAACAACCTCCTGAACATCATTGACGTGCCTGCAAAAAGCTGTTGGTGTCCAAGCATCTCCACTTCTAGCCAAGGGAGTAGAATTTGGTGGGGAAGGTCGGGAAACATCCTTACCAACATCCATTGACACCCAACTTGTCCCTGGCAATAGTTTTATTAGTGTTAGTTCATTAGCGAGAGAATAAGACCAACCAAAAGGCAGAACTCAAGTTTGTCAACTATGACGAAGTATCGCAGCCACTGTTCTCAAAAAATATCTTGGATTTACGGAATTAAGTCTTAATATTATATTTTGAGACCAGCAGCTCTGTCACACTTTGTTTCCTGACTTTAGATATGGCTGCAGACTAGGAGATGACATTTCAGCACCTTACAAGCAGGAAATAGAAGCCTAATGCCGCCACTGTTTTGGATCCAGCAGCCAGTAGTCCCGGCACACTTGACTTCACGTGTAGCCACTTAGCCTCTGTCTAACAGCTGCACGGTCCAGACCAAGGAAGGATGATTGGTGTAGATGTGGTGATCACATTTGTCGACTCAAAGCGACAGATCAGTTTGACTGCTGATCTGTTTCGTAAAAATTAGTTTACAATGTCAGTAGGGAGGAAATAAACAGTTTTACCCAATAATTCCCATGCCCACATGAATGCCATGTTTATGATCTTGTGATTTTTTTCCCCCTGAATTTAAGCTGTCGATTTGAAATGTAGGTGAACACTTTTTATCATATAAAAGACAAATACGCATCTATTTTCAGAAGAGGATAAAACTGTTTTTGGACATATTTGTGGAAACAATGTCTCAACTTCAGGTGCGCAAAACACCTTGAGTTAAGATTTTCCTTTAAGTGAGAGTTAAGGTTTTCTTTTTACTTCCAATAGATATTTTAGGTTTTCTCCTAATCTTGGTCTTAAACATAAGCAAGCCCTGAAAGTTAGGGAAACAGTTGGACAAAAGACCTTAAAACTAAACGTGCCTCTCAGACTATCTTAACCACAACATGGCAGAGTTTATGGTGATGAATGAAGAAGATTAACGCATCCAGGGAGGAGTGCTCCATGACCGGGAGACATTCAGTGTTCAAGGTGGGACAATTAGCTGCTAGGTTTCTATTCCTCTTGCTGAGTGGAAGCTAGTTAGCCTAGCTCGCCAATGGAGCGGAAGCAGTCTCTCTTTCATGGCTCTTTCAGAGAGCGGACATGCGGATTGAGCGAACAGGCAACAGCGGTGGCCCAGCTGGTGCCTGTTAGGCTGCTGAACTTAAAGTGATAAAACATACACTGCATGTAAATGAACCCGAATGCTAACTAACAGTGCCGACTTGTTTTGTTGGTTCGTGGCCGTCTAACTCACCGGTGCGGCGGTCCGGCAGTGTGGAGCCCTCCGCGCTTGTGTCCATGTGCGTCTCTGTGCCACTGTGTGCGTCTGTGACAGCCAACTGTCCGTCAACACCCGGTCCGGTCCTCTGGTGGGGCAGGGTGAGGTGTTTCAGGGCCAGGGCCAGGCTCTGATCCAACCGCTCACACTCTTTCAACGGAATCTGACACACAAACAAAATAAAGGCTGGTCGGACATTTTGATTTCATTTAAATCCAATATTAACAATACCAAAACAAATGTCTATGGTAATCAATATATCAGCATGAAAAACTTAACTGATCGTGTGTAGACCTCGGCTAAAAAAAATATACATATATATGGAAGTGAGTCAACATTTCAGAGCCCTCAAGGTCTTTCCCAACTTACCTGCTCATCGTCCAATAGCAATGCTTCCTGTGGGGCAATGTTGTCGAGCAGGAAGTGGGCCATGTCGAGAGCCAAGTCCTACACACAACACACACGATACTGCCATCATTATTTTGAGGGACTCAAAGCCAAGTTTTTTACCGTTTAAAAATAGTTTCATCTACTTTTCATTGCGTGCCATTCTTGAACACGATGTAAATGTAAAACATTATTACCAATTATTGGAAAAGAGAAAAATTTGATTTTTATGTACTCGCGGCAAAGCAATGTTGATGTGCTTGAGGTCAACTAGAAATTGAATGAGGCACATAATATTCCATATTCATAAATACAGAATAGACATCACACATTTTTACTAGAGGACAAGGCCATTATCTATGTTCAATAATAAATAAAAAAAATCTGATATATCAGCCAAAATAATTTATTTATTACAGACATCTCATCTGCTTCTAATGAAACATATCTTTGTCTTCTGTCATTTCTTGTATAAAAGTCAACATAAATACTGGCCATTTTATTAGGTAAACCATTCTCATGCAGGGTAAGATCCCCATCCCTGTAATTTTTCCCCCGGAGCAGCCCGAATTCTTGACGTTGTGTTTTCAACAAGGTGCTGGAAACATTCCTGAGAGATTCTGCTCCATGTTGGCATGATAGTGTCACATACCATTAGGACAGCAGACAGCATGATTTGCTGACACAAGACAGGATGGATCCATGGATTAATTTTGTTTACGCAAAATTCTGACCCTACCATCTTTACGTGGCCGCAGAAATCTAGATTCGTTTCACCAGATGACATTTTCCCATCTTCTACCGTCCGGTCTTGGTCCTGTACTTGCTGGAGCCTCAGTTTCCTGTTCTTAGCTGCAGTAGCGGAACCCGCTGGGGCCTTCTGCTGCTGTAGTCCGTCCAATTTACTTTTGCTGAAGTACGTTAAACTTCTTCTAATGTCCATCAGGGGGCGACTCCTGAAATGCCGAACTCGAAGCTTCAAAATGGCAGTCCACAAAACAATGGGTGACGTCATAACGACAAGTCCACTTCTTATTGTCATTCTTAGTCTATGGGTTCTACGTGAGACGGCCAGAGATAGCAACGTGTTTTCATCCACCGAACTGCCGCTCACTGGATGGTTTGGTTTTTCGCAACTCTTGAGACCGTTGGGGTGAAAATCAGGAGATCAGCTGTTTTGCAAGACACTCGAACCGACATCAATCGTTCCACAAACCGAGTCGCGTAGATCACATTCTGATGTTTTAGTGAATCTTTTTTTCAGCACGTCTTGTGCGCTTTTATATATTAAGTTCCTTTTACACCATTGGATGAACACATATAGATGCATTGACAAGCAGTGTAGGGAGTACCGAATATAGTGGCCACTGAATGTAGCAAGCTGTTTTTTTTTTTTGTTTTTTTTTATAAAAATCGGTGCCAAAACCAACGCAACTTAAAGTTAATCAGGCTACAAAACTGAATTACTTTCATCCAGCAAAGACAACCTCAGGTGGAATAAAAAATACTTTACATATCATTTCCATTTTTAATTCTTGCGTCAGCACTGTCCCAAAACGCACACATATTGCAAACAATGTTAAAACAAATAGAAATGACAGACCTGGAAAAGGAAGTGCCCAGTTTAATGCAGTCAAAGAACTGTGCCGTTACCTGAACGAAGCAGAAGGTCTCCTGTGAGTGTGTGCCGACTGGTCCACCGGGCCGGGCCCAACATAGTGTCACCGAGACCTGCTCACACACATCATGGGCTACAAAACACACACACACACACACACACACACACACACACACACACACACACATTCTGGTTTTATCTGTATGTTAAAACATCCCATAAATATGAAAAGTAACTTTCAATAAATATCAATCATCGACACAGATGAATAAACACAAGTGCCCTCATAAAGCCTGAGGAACACTATGTTATTCTGTCATAGAAGTGAAGCGTGCGCGTACACACACGCTACTTAGAAACAATGAGCTGTGTGATTTGTCTGTTTACCTGCTGTATAAGCAGATGTCATACATAAAATTACTTTTCTATTTTACTTTCTATTAGGCACTGGTGTTAGTATTACTTCTTATGAACTTTATCTTTTTACTCTTGTTTTTATTCCCATATTGTTGGTATTTACTTTTCCTATTTTAGCTCATTTATTTAACTAAACTGATCTTAGTCTTATTGCAATTCTATTTTGCACTGCCATCAGTATTTTGGTACATTTAACATGTATTCCTCTCTTTTTTATGTATGTTTATATGACTATAGTTCTTTTCTTATTCTTCTAAAGAATTTCAGTTAGTATTAATATAGTTCTATGTATGTGTGTCTTGGGCCTTCACACATCAGTACAGTTTGAGTCGCCACAGAGATCCACAAACTTTAAGACAAAACGGACAACATTAAGGGAGCAGACAGTGATCCGAGTGCATAATTCTTGAAGGGCAACTTCAGTATTTTTCAGCTTGGACCCTTTGTTTTTGTGTCTAACTGACTAGTCGGGACAACGATATCTGAAATTGGTCCCGTATTGAGTAAGAGCGCTGCAGCCGCAAAACGAAAGTTCGAAATTCACATCACTTATGCAACTCGAGGGAGAAATTTGTGAAGCTGCGTCAGAGTCACCTGTCATCACTGACGCCCTGACGTTGTTGAATCGGAAATGGAAGGAACAAATATTGTCGCCGTCTTTGGGCACCCAGAGTTCTACGATAGTGACTCATATTTGTACAGAGACCCAACTTACTATGTGTTTAAATGTGTGTACAAGTCAACAAAAACGTTGCTGCCGTATCGCTTGGATGGCGTTATTTTGAATGTTGATGGAGGAGCTTAAATTTTACCATAGCCTAGCACTGATCGATCGGAACTCCACTCAGAAGACAAGCATTTTAAAAGATGTTTGCTTGTCCTCTTGAGACAGACCTGACTAACAATGATTTCAGACTTTCTACAAATTGCACCATTGTGTAGTTATTTCGGCATCCTTCTTATATCTTTATTGCAATTAAATCACAGCAAAGTCTGTTTATTTGGGTTCATACCACTGTGGTAAGCCAGCTAAAGCGTGGCTTGCTAGATACAGTGAATACAGCTTGTTGAAATTCACGATGTTATAAACTCAGACAGGACGGCATTTGGTTTCCCATCATAGGGCTTTTTGGGAACAGGGATGACAGCTGTCTCCTTCCAAGCCCTAGCAAAGCTTGGCCAGCTTGGTTTTGTGCTTCGGCTCCCTTTTTAGTTCATTGTTTTTGTCTCCCTGTATAAGTGCTTTTTTTGTGGTTGAGACGGTGTTTCGGCCCTCTGGTGACCTGGTGTCATTGAGTGTGTTCGGTTCACCCTCACTTCTCTGGAAGTCAGTGAGCTCAGAACTGCCCCCTCAGCATTTCTACAGAGTCGTTATTCCAAACCTGAATGGTTTTTGACTTGATCTTGTGTGTTTTCAATTTTGGTAGCAGTAATATTAGATTATGGTCTGAGAAACCAATCCTTTAATCTGCTGAGGGCTGGTACCACAATCGCCTGTGTAACAGTAACTACACCCAGGCTAATAATCCTGCTCGCACTGCCATCTGGAGGTTTCTACATGCTCTGTCACAACCGCAACAGACCACACCCTGAGCACACCTACCTCACGTAATACTGGGTGAGGTGTTGAGTGAAATCCATCAGCTCATTATAAACTCCTGTTCAGACTATGACTAACAGATATGATGTTGTTGGAGACGCCTGGTGATAATCTGAATCTTGAGAGATGCAGTAGGTATTAAGGCGTGATATCCACCGAAGAGTTAATGCCATAGATCTAACCATGTGGAGAGGCATGATTCACTCCATCCATCTCTCCATCCATCCAACAATCTCTCCATACTTCCATCCATCAAACCATCAATTCCTACATCCCCCATCCATACATCCATCTCTCCATCACTCTATCCAACTATCATCCATATATCTCTCCATCAAACCCTTCATCCCTCCATCCATTTTCTGCTGCTTATTCGGGGCCGGGTCAAATACATATAGAGTCATAATGATGTACTCATACACTTGAGCTGGTATTGGTATCCGCTTTAAAGAGCAGCTAACCCGACTATTTCAACTATTTCAGACCAAAATACAAGAGTATTTGGGCCACTGTTGGGAATAAAGTTATAATGTTATGAGTTCTTAGCAAGAAAAGGGTAATTTATAAAATATTTGGAGAAACCAGTTGCTGAAATTTTTGGAAGAAAGAAACGTCACACTACAGGATAGAGTAGGATAATGAACTTTTAGGTACTTTTAAGACCTAATTTTAGGAGAGAAAAAAATAATAGTACAAGAGATTATGTGAGTGTGTTGTACCTGGACACACAGCATGCAGTGTGACGTGGCTGACTCGCAGTGTGCTGGTCAGATGTCTTTGGGTGGATCCTGTGAATAAAAGATAAAACTCTGCCTCCTCCTCTTCGTCCTCTTCTCCCTCGGCGCAACACACGTCTTCATCGTCGAGCTGAACAGTCAACACACACTCGCCCTGAAAGGACAGAGAGGCAATGAAATCAACTTTATGCATTTACATAAACACACCTTCTTGCTAATGCAGATGGTACATGTTTAATTCATGCTATGCACTTTTTTTTTTTAAATGATGTGACCTCTTGTGTCTGACTGAAACTTGGTAGCTATCTAATAGTTATTTAACTCTGAACCGAGCAAAATGATGACCGCGGGTCACCAACTAGAGCATGTGTGCAGGAAATATGGCTCAACTGTCCACGCACAATAATAATAATACATTTCATTTATAGAGCGCTTTTCAGAATACTCAGACACTTTACATTAAAATCATCATATAAAGAAAAAAAGCTATACAGCTATACAAGCCTATACAAAGATCATGTCAGGACCTCAGGAAGCTCTGAACAAATTCAAGGACTACCGTGCTTCTCTAAATCACGTCTGCCTGTGCTCTTCCCTCAAATCATTAATGAAAAAATAAAGTGTGAATTCAATCTACCACTTTTTCTGTGAACATCAGTTCATTGGTTGATGGAGATAAACGGTAGGTGGAGCCGATTCCCCAGTCGGAGCTAAATCAAAGCTTGGAAAAAACCACGTGGTATAACATGACGGAAATATGACATTTGTTTGTTTAATGTATTAGTGTGAAGAATGTTTTATGTGCAAGCTCAAAACACACCGACAGCGACTCATGATTCACTCATGATCTACCTCAAAAAAGGTGCTACTTGCTACTGTTTGGAAACCAAAAATGTACATGGATGGCAACATAGTCTGGATCTCATGAGGCTCGAGCATGAGTGTGACCCATCGGTAATAATGGAGTGTAATAACTTAATTATATGCTTTTAAGAATGTGTTCCCAAAGCAAATATAAAAAATGCCAACAAAAAATTTGTCCAAAACAACGTGACAACAAGCCAAGTTCAAGTTGGTTTGTTCATTTGGAATAGTGAATGTGAGATAGAAAAAAATATATATATGATTTACACCAACTGAAAAACTCTGTGTGGTTAAACGCTAAGAAATGAATGAAGTCATCTGTGGTGGGGCTGTGTGTGTATGTGTCAGCATCACGAGGAGCTGGCCGTTGCATTGAGGTCAGCGTGCGTGTTACTCTCCCTGCAGTAGCTCGGTGCTGTGTGATGACAGGATGGACACTGTTCCTGTGTGTCATGGCGATAATATGTGGCAACTACTAGACTCTCTTTCCACACCGGGAACAAGTGAAAATGATCAGAGACACATTGGACCACATCAAACACAGTGCAAAGTAATTGAGTCATCGATGCACATACTTTATAAGCTTGAAAAGAACTAATCAACAAACAAAGGCGTGTGCCATCTGCACAGAGCATCCACAGGACAAACTACTAATGTGTAATTGCCAATCATTAAGCAAACAATATTCTTCAAACTGTTTGTCTTTAACCCTCTGAATCCTAAGCAGTGTTTTGCTCCCGTCACATTTTCCTAGCTGTGGCCTTGATTTTCACTGCAATATACAAGTCCTGCATCTCTATGGAAACAGCACAACCATGGCTAGAAGTAGAGATAACTCAAAAATGTCTTCTGTGCAGTATAACACAGTTAACATGTCATAAATCATAAAAAAGAAATAACTTGAATTTCTTTGATAATTTCTTTTAGAATTCAGAATTTAATGTTTTTTTGTGTAAACGGTTTATTTGTGGTGAGATTTTTAAGCTTAGTTTCAGTTGCGTTTTCTGATGGAACCTTTCGTCACACATGATGTGTTTCAGGACTGTCAGAAAGACGGAAATCTGATGATGTTATTTTTTACAGCTTCTGGCTGTGATAAACGATGTAGTTTTGGCAATTGCTTTTCCATCCCGCCGGCGGGTTTTGGGGTTCAGAGGGTTAACCATGTTCTGCTGTCGAAATGTCTGAAAGTATAAAAAGTGAAGTTTCTCCAACACTTTGGCCTGATGATGGCGCTGTTCTCTCACTGTTACAATGAATAGAATAGAGAACAAGTGTGTTTATGCGGGCTTACTCTCACAGGTGTGTGCTGCAACTAGGTAAAATGGTAAATGGTCTGTACTTGTATATCTCTTTTCTAGCCTTTCCGACCACTCAAAGCGCTTTCACTACATGTCATCATTCACCCATTCACACACACACTCATACATACACTGATGGCAGCCATGCTATCCTGCAAGGTCCATTCACATACATACAAGAAAAACGTGGTTATTCTCAGAGATTAATTTCGTAAATTTAATAGAGAAAAAAAATTGTATGATTAAAAAAATAATAATAATTTAAAAGAAAAAAATACTGAGAGATGATCTGAGATAAAAGTCAGAAAATCTCAAGAAAACCTTTAAACACTGTAGTAAAAGACAGTATTTCAGGACCGCGTTTACATGCCATCCGTCAAAAAGGCCGTCGGAAAAAGAGCAATCTTTAGGATTTATCTGATAACCCATTGGCAAAATAAAAAGTACAACAGGTCCAACATGAGGATGAAGTACAATGCATACTTTGCCTCGGTCAGAGGCAATCATTTCCAGAAGAACACAACTACTTTAGGCTCAACGAAATTCAGACGTTATTTTTCTCAGCAAATTTATAACTTTATAATCTCAGAGAATGTTCCATATTTTTTACGAAAATTTATGAATTTCAGAGAATCTCAAAAAAAGTGTCACGTAAATTTACGTCTTTAAATTAAGAAATTCAGTTTTCTTCTCGGAACAAATAATTATTTAATTTCCTATATTTTTTCTGTATATTGCATAATTTTATGTTTTAGATACTCTTATTAATTTTTTAATATATATATTTAATTAGCATTGTTGGAGGGAGCCTGAGATCGATGACTGTCACTGCCAACGACTGCTTCTCTGCTTTGTTGTATCTTGCTGTGCACATAACAGAAAACTTGAACTAATCTGTGCTACATCTAAGAGCTGGCTGGCTACAGACGGTGGGCATGTAGGAAGGTTTGCATTAAAGAGATAAAAAACTGAACAGAGATTAGAGTGTATATGCGTTGTATATTGCTCTCGTGTGTGTGCTGTGAAACACACAAATACACACTTCTGCTGAACCTGCAGTAGTTAAAAGCCTGTTAACAGCCTCACCCATACAAACACGGGCTAACAATAGCACACAGGAATGTTTCAGATCTCACACACACACACACCACTGCTGTTGTTGTTAAACTCTGTTAGACGGACAGACAGGGGTCACTTTTCCCACGTGAGCGGTTACAGATGCTTTGGCTGCTTATGAATATAGAAACATTCAGGCTAAGCTAACATACTTGTGTTATTTCGCTCAGGTGCTCTGCCGGGACCAGATGAGGACACTTTACGGGCGCACATGACTGATTTATTTGGTACATGGCATGCTTAAGTTACACAAGAAGCGGGACTGAATGTTGGGAGCTGGTTCTCAAGTGGAGCCTTTTCCAACTATACAGTATAAGAAGAGTTGTTTAATTTGTTAAGAAATCCTGAGGATCGAGGAAGCTCGCGGAAGGAGCTCTAAGCAAAGGAAACACCGGTGTATCCTTTGCGGAAGTCTTTTCGGCAGCCGTAAACAAATAAAAAGGGGCGCTACACGCATCTGGAATAATCTCAAACAAAATGTACAAATTTATCTGTTCTTTTTGTTTTCATTACTTGTATGTATTCAATATGATTAGATCAGTCAGATGCGCCAACAGTTTGTGTAGCACCTTATACAGGTTAGTTTATACTCACTGTAGTGAAGCCAGCGCAAGGTGCGTGTAGGCCAAGTGGTCGCGGAGCTTAAACCTCTGAATTTTTGTAACTTGGCACGTGACTGTCGCAAATAGTTCACTGATAAAAACATTATTTACATGTCTAGGGATTATACAGTCAGGGCCATAAGTATGTGGACTGTGACACAATTGTTCTAATTTTGCTTCTTTACACAACTCCAATGGATTTGAAAGGATGCCAGACTTCACACAGTCATTGACTGCAAAGGATTTTCCTCAAAGTATTAAAAATAATGATTATATTCATAATTATGTTTGTCCAATTACTTTTGAGCATCTGAAAATGTGGGAGACTGTAAAAATGGCTGTAATTACTAAACGGTTTATGTGATATTTTCGGAGTCGTGTAAAGAGGCAAAATTAGAAAAAAACTTTGTCAGTCAAAATACTTATGGCCCTGACTGTACAAAATAGGCCAACGCGTTTTGAGAAACGGGTCTTAAAAATCTTCATTCGAGTTAACATTTTGCAGCAAAATCAAATAGTTTACAGGATATTGAACGTTCGTTTCTTTATAATTCATCTACTACTTGACTGTTTTCTTTACAGTGCTTGTTCAAAGGCAATAAAGTAGGCCATGAATATGAGATATGAGTTTGCAGATAATTACAATCCCTCCTCGGCGTTGTGGAGTTTGGTTTATGGCTTTATGCAGGTAACACACCACAGTTCATTTTGTTTGTTTATATACACACACACACACACACACACACACACAGTTGTGTGAAAAAGTGTTTGCCCCCTTCCTGATTTCTTATGTTTTTGCATGTTTGTCACACTTAAATGTTTCAGATCATCAAACAAATTTAAATATTAGACAAAGATAACACAAGTAAACACAAAATGCAGTTTTTAAATGAAGGTTTTTATTATTAAGGGGGAAAAAAAATCCAAACCTACATGGCCCTGTGTGAAAAAGTGATTGCCCCCTAAACCTAATAACTGGTTGGGCCACCCTTAGCAGCAACAACTGCAATTAAGCGTTTGCAATAACTGGCAATGAGTCTTTTACAGCGCTGTAGAGGAATTTTGGCCCACTCATCTTTGCAGAATTGTTGTAATTCAGCCACATTGGAGGGTTTTCGAGCATGAACCGCCTTTTTAAGGTCATGCCACAGCATCTCAATCGGATTCAGGTCGGGACTTTGACTAGGCCACTCCAAAGTCTTCATTTTGTTTTTCTTAAGCCATTCAGAGGTGGACTTGCCGGTGTGTTTTGGATCATTGTCCTGCTGCAGAACCCAAGTGCACTTCAGCTTGAGGTCACGAACAGATGGCCGGACATTCTCCGCGTCATTGAACTCTTTGTAAACAAAGAAAGGAGGATGGACTTTGTCTTTAAGTGAACAGCAGCTTTGGTAAGTAAACTGCTTTTGTGTTTTTACATCTGCAGTAGCGTTACTACTGTGTTAATTTGTCTATGGTGTCGTTTTTATGATATGGTTAATATTGTTCCCTCCGATGTGAATAATATTTGAATGGCCCGTGCTCTTCAGTGTGTGGTGGAATACGTGTTTTAGCGCCGCAGTTTTGCTGGATTATTTGTCATGCTTTGTTGTCATATGTGACTGGTTCTTGTGAGTTTGTTCTTGTCATTGTGTTAATTACATTGATTTTGACTCTATGCATTGTCTGTTAAGCATCCTGTCATGCGCGTATTCATGCATCGGTTTTCTTTTACAAAGCAAGAATTATGGTCTGGAGAAATGGAGATTGTGTGGTGATTGCTTTAGCCCTGTTTGAATCAGTGGGGAACAGCTAAACTCTGCGGGGAGAGTTTTCAGCCTGTGTGATGCTGTTGGTTTCCTGCTAAGCTAGTTTAGCATAGTGTGCATCCCAGAACACACGTGCATCACCAGAGTACAATGTTTTTCTTCCGTGGTAGGCGTGTCAGACAGCACGTTGGGTGGGTTGCTAGTTTGAGCGCAGTGGCTCCACCGAAAGAACATTATATTTCCCACAATTTAAGCTTCTGCATTTTCCAAATGCACTAGTATTATTCAAACGTATTGTTCGGTTCATAAGCCTCATACCGAACGGTTTAATACGAATACGTGTATTGTTACACCCCTAGAAACAAATAACCCGTAGCTGTGGCGTCATAATGAGGTTGTTAGGAGGTGGTTCAACTGTAGTAGGACAGCACTGAAGGCCCAGGAATAAAATGCACGGCCCGCCACTGCTTTTAATAAACGGTCATTAAAAACAAACCACAAATATGTTATATAGTCTCTTTCTCATCCGAGTACACACGCACGCACAAACACTACCAGCGAGAAAGAGAGCGAGACGAGTACAACACTCGTGGAGGGAAGACACCCAACATCACAGATGACCTCATTCATTTATCCTCACACACGTTAGCACAGTTAGCCTTTAACCACACACAGTTCTTCACTTGGTGGAATTTCCCTCACAATGCCAGATTACAAACCAACTAGGTCTTAGAAATAAAAGTATGTAAATAGAGTTTTACAGTGCATTTAGCTGAGAACATACAATCAGTGTGTTTCTTTTACAATAAAACTCTTACCGAGAGTCTACAGCCACGCTAGCGGCTCTGTGAGAGTTAGCTTTGCGCTAAATGATAACATCAGCATGCTCGCAGTGGCAACACGCCGATGTTTGGCAAGTATATAGTTCACCGTCTTCGATTAATCGTGTTAGCATGTTAACATTTGCTAGTTAGCAGTAAAACACAAAGCACAGCAGAGGCTGGTGGCTATGTCATTATTAAATGTTGACCTGATGATAGTTACACGTTATTAGAATTCATACTTAGGGGAATGTCTGAACCACCTATTAGTTGTTGAGAAATTGAAGTTTCAACCACAAACAATGGACCGATTGTTTGGGCTATCGTTTAAAAAAGAATTACGATACAAGTACCCATGAAGTGATACCAATAGAGTACTTCATTTGACACCTTTTTGACTCGATTCGATACTGATCATGTGAATGGTAGCATTTAGTTGTGAAAAAAACACCACAACCAAATTATTTGTCACCACTAATTAGTTGTCAGATCATGTTGCGGCATTTGTCTCATTAGGATGAAGACAGATACTTACATAGAGTGGAGCTTGTTGGGGATTCAGTTTCATGGCAATGGATTCTAGAAGAAAAAAAAGACAAGGGGGGGTAGAGGTGTGAGCATTTATTCTACGGGGGGGGACATATACGAGAAAGCGGGGAAAAGTGTATTGACTTTTTAACACAGGGCAATTCTACAGTGGGCCTGAAGGATCAACGCACTGCAACAAGACGGAAATAAGGACAAAAAGTAATCTTAAAGGCAGGCTTGTATATAAGTAAAATCGGATTCTTGGAAACAAAAATTAAGCAATTAGGTTTTTTTTAAATCTGATTTGCGGAAATCAAAAGATTACCGGACTGATATTGTGGTTTGTGTACCAAATCTGAATTTAAACAATCAATGAGCTGTAAAACTTTTTTGTTAAGGCATTTGTGTGTGTGTTTCTCTGCATTTACCTTAATGTCAAAATCCATAGTAACACGGTCTTTGTCTCCATGTCTGTCTCTCTTTCCAGTGTTTTCTGTATATTTTGTGTGTCTTTGTCTTACTGTCAACATGTTTATTGCCTCTTAATGTTTTAATGACTATGGTATATGCATAAGATTAGAATATTGTATTTCATGAATAATATTTTGAATTTGAGTTTTGTAATAAAGATCACTTTGTTTCTCCCAGCAGACATTTGGACATTAACAAAGCAACTGTTCTGTTCAAGTGTCCCAGCAAGACGGTCACATGTCAACATGTCTCTGCAGGAATATAAAACCTGTTTTTCTTTATACAGTTTGTCATTAGCAGTAGCTAATGAGTAGCTTATTTGTAATATGACTAAAACAGCTGCACTGCGACAGTGGAGTCATATGAAAAGCTCAGCTTTAGTTAGAAAACAGTCCAGTGGTCCCGGAGTGATTGGCTGAGGAGTGTGAACTAAAGATGCTGAGTCCAGCTTCAAGGCGAGGGATGAGACGCGGCATCTCATCGTGTACATGAAGTCACCGGTTCTAATTACAGACGTGTCAGTAGGACGAGCCGCGGGTCACCACCCAACTCCTCTACACTGATGTGGTCGGCCCAGAGGAGCCTTACAAGTCCTCCTCACACACTCGACAGGAGACAACAAGCCTTCCTCTCGCTTGCACGCACGCACGCACGCACGCACGCACGCACGCACGCAGACACACACAAGCGCACACACACACACACACACACACACACACACATAAACACAAGGGCACGCATGCACGCATCTGATAAAGGCAGTCCAACACACAGGCGGACAGACAGATGCTTGTTAGACCCAAGTCTATGTGGTGTAGTTAAAAAGCCGTGAATCGAGTTGAACACAGTGAAAGAACCAGTTACTTTGCATGTTATAACAGCCATGACGTACTCGGAAACTTCCGTTTTTTGGGGGTGTTTATGAACTGTGATGCACGACACCCACCTGCGCCCACAAAATAAAAAAAACGATAACCAGCAACGTGTTGGACCAAGTTTAGATCTATGAAATTAGTTGATTCTCTGGTGCAAGTGAAGAATCTCCAGACAGCAGAGTTACAGTGCTCTACAGTGGAGGAAGCCATCGCATTGTTCCCTGTGTTACAACATCCAAAGTCCATAGGACTCTGCGTATAAACTGCTCCACAAAAGAGTCGGTCAGCTGACGGGAGCGGAGAGTACAAATACCTTCCATTGAGCTTACTGTGTGGACTTATTGTCAGGCTGGCCCCACCTTTTTTCCCCAGGAACACACTAATGAACTAATGACTTACTGTACAACAATGGTGCGCAACCAGTTGGGGTGCTTACAGGTCGATCACAGATTACTCTTTTTGGAACACGGAACTTTGTAGTGTCAAGCTTTGGTTGTACGCGCGCTTGGCGCTGTAGCGCGAGTCTCCGCAAAATGAACTGAAGAATCAAAAAAGAAAAATGTAACTGCAAAAAAGCCATAAACCAACCACCACAGTGCCGAAGAGGGATTGTTATTATCTGTAAATTCATATTCATGATTTACTATATTGTCTTTATGCAAGCCCTGTAAAGAAAGAAGTCAAGTATTAAGCAGCAAAAAAGTTGTAGCATGACATGTTCGAGTTAATCTGTCGACACTACACGTCCTGCGATGTGTCCATCGAGCGTTTGCACATAATGGTCGATGCTGAAACGATATATTGTGCCCCCTTATCATACGGGGGCCCATGAATATTTCAGTCTGGAACAAAGTGGTGGACTGACTCAACAGACCGTCCCACAGTGCCAACAATAATAACTACTAAAGTGATCAGTGTATGTAGTAGTTAACAACATCTCACCTTACAGTTGGCTTCCACAAATCATGAGATGTGTTCAACGGTTATTATTGAGATTTCACAGGGCTGCCTTACATTAGCTTTGAACGAGAGATCCTCAGGAAATCAGAAGATTTAGCCTTCGGAAGACTGGTGACTTATTTTGGTTTTGAACTGCAGCTTGTGGACAGAAACTTATTTTGCATGAAAACTTTGAAGGTTTAGTTGCCAAAGGACATTAAGCGGGAGGCATTAAGATGACTTAGGTTTACAGCGTCAGATCCTCTTGTCCTTCTGTCAGTCTGGCTGCAGAGTTAATCCTGCTATGTAGCCCACCCAGCCCCTCATCCCTCAGCAGGGGTTCATTTGGGATCAATCGGCTTCCAAAGCCCACTTATAGTAAGTCAACATAGAATAACTCACAGAGGCTGGTAAACAAAGCAGTCACAGCCGACAGAGGCCCCCCTTCACATACTGATGAGTGACATGCGAGAGAAAATAAAAAAGAATAAATGAGTAAGTCCTCCATATGGGTCATGAAGGTCCACGGAATTGTTTTGATGAGGATGAACGTGATGTGAATGACATGCTATGACTTTTTCACGGACACACAGTGTAGACGGCACAAAAGGCTTCATCGCTTCTTGCCTCTATATTCAGAGCTAGCAGTGATGTTTCATCGTGCCTTTTTAAAAGAAATATGTAAAAATCCGATCTGGTCTGAATATAGGAAGGAGAGGTTTCAAACGAGAGCTGTCAGATGCTGAGAGGAGAATTTCATGAGACACGCCGCAAACAGACTGTATATAAGAAGTCGACATCGTGACATCACCCATTGGTTTGTGGACTGACGTTATAAAGCCTCGAGTTCGGTGATTTCGCTGTCGCCATATTGGATTGGGGCCGTTGCTGTGTTTTTTTCGCAACCAATGAACTGAAGTTCTGAACCATATTTGGAATGCGTGAGAGTGAAGTAGAGGCGCTGTATATGTCTCTGTTAACGGCAGCGACCTGTCAATCACAGTACCCCCGCCCTAAAGCATACCCTGCTTTATGGTCTAAATTGAACATAATTTACTAAATGAACATCATGCTGTATTGAAGAAGACTTGAAACTAGAGATTGAGATCATAAACTCATGTTTGAGGTACTGAGAAGTAGAGTCCTTTTCTCATAGACTTCTATACAATCAGACTTCTTTTTATAACCGCATTCTGTCCTGTGCTAAAACACTTGTGATTTCCTGACCTGTCAGCCACACATAGAAAGTGAGAAAAATGGGAGAAGCGATACAAAAGCAAGAGGAGTAAGGCTGTTGGGACTATAATGAATGAACAGCGCAATGTGCGATATTATTTATGTTAGTACTATAGACATTCTAGTTAATTTAAAGCGATATAAATTAATTGTTAGGCTATTATTATTATTATTAGGTGTTTTGTGAGTTTTTAAATGACAAAGATGACAGTTTTAAAACAAAATTTTAAAACTTGAGGCGCTTTGGCTTGCGTCTGTTTGCTAAGATACCGAATATCGGCAGAAGTAAAAACGTAAAAGCATGAGCTAGAGGATTGGGGAGATGGGAACAGTTTCAGATTTGATCTTTACCCTCGACTCATCTTTGAATATATTCGAGTCTGATGTGTCTTTATTAGTAGCTTTTATTTAACGCAATTTGTGACATTTATTCTCGAGTGTGTATAATGGGGCAGGCTTAAACACCAGCAGGGCTCGGGCTCCATTTGAAATCTGAGCTGAAATAAAGAACTACAGATAGTCAGGTGTTTTGAGACTAGCAGACTGCACACTGAGGTTACTGCTCCGCGGCCTTCATCCTTTTAACTGTCTACAAGTGCTGGTGTGGAGGAACATTTGTACAGAGACACTTCAGATGCAATCTGGGCCTGGATGGTATAAATAAGTCATTAGCACTGTCTCAACTGTTCGAAATTGAAAGGCATGACCCCAGAACCAACTTAATTACCATTACCACACATGGACCAAAGGCCTTCTGAAGACTGTGTGTGTGTGTGTGTGTGTGTGTGTGTGTGTGTGTGTGTGTGTGTGTGTGTGTGTGT